CATACAGTAAAATCATTAACAATAACATCTTCACTAAATACAGTAAAATCATTAACAATAACATCTTCACTACATACAGTAAAATCATTAACAATAACATCTTCACTACATACAGTAAAATCATTAACTAGAACATCTTCACTACATACAGTAAAATCATTAACAATAACATCTTCACTACATACAGTAAAATCATTAACTAGAACATCTTCACTACATACAGTAAAATCATTAACAATAACATCTTCACTAAATACAGTAAAATCATTAACTAGAACATCTTCACTACATACAGTAAAATCATTAACTAGAACATCTTCACTACATACAGTAAAATCATTAACAATAACATCTTCATTACATACAGTAAAATCATTAACTAGAACATCTTCACTACATACAGTAAAATCATTAACAATAACATCTTCACTACATACAGTAAAATCATTAACTAGAACATCTTCACTACATACAGTAAAATCATTAACTAGAACATCTTCACTACATACAGTAAAATCATTAACAATAACATCTTCACTACATACAGTAAAATCATTAACAATAACATCTTCACTACATACAGTAAAATCATTAACTAGAATATCTTCACTACATACAGTAAAATCATTAACAATAACATCTTCACTACATACAGTAAAATCATTAACTAGAACATCTTCACTACATACAGTAAAATCATTAACAATAACATCTTCACTAAATACAGTAAAATCATTAACTAGAACATCTTCACTACATACAGTAAAATCATTAACTAGAACATCTTCACTAAATACAGTAAAATCATTAACTAGAACATCTTCACTAAATACAGTACATATTGATTTATAACAGGGTAATTAATGAAGAATGGTTCTGATGTAATGAGTTTGGAAATAAACTGAAAAATTAAATAAGTAGAAAACACAACTTTATATCTCTCTGAAAACTTGTGCTTATGAAAATAAATGATTTCACAAGATATTGACGAATATCAAACAAATCTGTTTTTTTCTCAAATTACTCGTCATCTTTGATATTCTGTGTGCACGGAAATTACCCAGAGGCACGACATTCTTGTTAAAAAAAAGTAGAGATAAGCAGAAGATGTTTGCTGTGTCAGTGTTGACGTGTGTATTTGTTCGTGTTTCAATTGAAGAGACAGAGAACAGATGCTAGAAGCGTTTTTCCAGTGTTAATCATTACCTGTGTTGATATTGGTTGGAATTTGTAGACAGATGATCAGCTTCCAGCTATTGTTTCTTCAACTTATAATTTATAACTATAAACCTTATTACATCTCACTATAGGCCTTATTACATCTCACTATAGACCTTATTACATCTCACTATAGACCTTATTACATCTCACTATAGACCTTATTACATCTTACTATATACATATTACATCTCACTATAGGCCTTATTACATCTCACTATAGACCTTATTACATCTCACTATAGACCTTATTACATCTCACTATAGACCTTATTACATCTCACTATAGACCTTATTACATCTTACTATAGACCTTGTTACATCTCACTATAGGCCTTATTACATCTCACTATAGACCTTATTACATCTCACTATAGACCTTATTACATCTCACTATAGACCTTATTACATCTCACTATAGACCTTATTACATCTCACTATAGACCTTATTACATCTCACTAAAGACCTTATTACATCTCACTATAGACCTTATTACATCTTACTATAGGCCTTATTACATCTTACTATAGACCTATATACATCTCACTATAGACCATATTACATCTCACTATATACATCTCACTATAGACCTTATTACATCTCACTATAGACCTTATTACATCTCACTATAGACCTTATTACATCTCACTATAGACCTTATTACATCTCACTATAGACTTTATTACATCTCACTATATACATCTCACTATAGACCTTATTACATCTCACTATAGACCTTATTACATCTCACTATAGACCTTATTACATCTCACTATAGACCTTATTACATCTCACTATCTATTTTTCGTCCCAATCACACCAATATCCGTTTTTTAAGAGGAAATAATTTGTTAAAACAATATTGAGTTATATTATATCTGGTCCCGTGACAACAAAATGGTAGAATATCTGAAGAACTGGTGCCAATTTGAGAGGGTAATTTCCGTGATTAATTGTACAGTAGGTATTTGACTTGTCTATTGGTTGGAGTTGTTGATTTTACTCCCAGTCTATAGATTATTGTCTTCGTTAAAGAAAAGAAAAGTGGAAAGTTGACTGTTAACTCTATTTATTCTGGACAAGTTCATCTTGACAAAGAAAACATCATTTCAATAACTATTCCTTTACAATCAAATTGTTATTAAGATATTTTAAAAATCAGTTATCAATAATCTTATATAATCTACAACATCTCAACCTGAAAACCTTTATTAATGGATGCAGAAAATCAAGAAACTATCCCATAATATAAGTCATAATTATAAATGTAAGAAATATGTTCAAATAAAATGATATTTTCATGCAAATAGGTAACTATAGTTGTCTGTTTTTGTGTGAAAATATTCGAAATGTTACATCATAAATCAATCAAAAATATCTTGCTTAGACCAATTCTTACAAAGTTAATAAACATAAAATTTCATGAATTTATTGCCCTTAAAATCTAAAGTGAAATTTTGTTTTATTTCTATATTTATTATTCTTTCATGTTTTGGATTTTGATGAAATACGATGATAAAACTTAATAAATATTTTCAAATTTCTAGACTATCATTCTTTAAGACAGTAGCCAGCCAAGTTTCTTCTTTATTTACATAGTCAATTCTTTAACCGTAAAATTATATTTGTTAATTTTTCTACCAAAGATCGGAACAATGAAACTATCCAAACAAAGTTTCTGAGAAACATGGTGTCTTTTCTTTACACAGACGATTTCCGTGGCACCATGGCTCTGGTAAAACTTGAGTTGTCAGGAAATGAAAGAGAGAAATATATTGACCTAATGAGAATGGCTGTTTGATCAAGCTTGTGTTCATTAACCAATAAGAACTGTATATAATTAGGTTGTATATAGAGAATGACTAGGTTTTGGTTGGTAAGGAAATCTATAATATTAGTATTTAGTTGGTATCAAGTATTGTTCAAGGTTTCATTAGGTAAAAGTTGAAGTGTTTTTATGAACAGTAATAGTTTTCTTCCTGTATTTGATTAACTGTATAGGGAGAATCAGTAGGATTGGTCTTGAAAAAAAATCTAAATGTTAGTAGTGCTGAGAGCATAGCCAATCTTAATCCACTTTCACTAACCAAGGTGGTCATAATGGTTTAACAAGTTGAGTTGTACTGACTGATCTGTCCAATAATCCAGATAGTACCTACTAATTTACCAATCAGAGCACCTGTCTTGTTTCTGTTACATTTACACTGAAAACTCAAAATATTTTTTGTGCGTGTAAGAACTGAAGTTAGGTGTCTGGTAATTACCCTCAGGTGATATTTGTCGAATAATTGGTCAATAGATGTAACGAATATACATTTCTAACACAGCATGTTTACTCCACCTAGTTTCAATCAAATTTTAAAAATAGGTCGTCCCCATTTTTTTTAACAATCAAGTTTATCTTAAAAATAAAAAGGAAGTAAAATAGGTAAAGCTGAAAGTTTGAAGATGGCGAAGAATTAACTGGCTGTAGACAACTTCAAAACATCTTTCAGAACTTTTAAATTGGATTCAAAGGTATTCATGAAGATTTGGAATTTGAAGAATTCTTTTGAAAAAGATAAACCAAATCCTTGACTTGCAGTAGAACAACAACATTAATTCTGAGGGAACTATCAGTGAGATATTGGGTTCGCTCTAAAAGATAATTGGCAATGAAGGTATTTGCCAAACAGCCCTGGCAACTCCTAAACTTTGTATGGAACTCTTCCACCCACCAATACTTTCTAAAAACTTCATTTCAACTTGTATTCAGACTTAATCCTGTATATTTACAACTGTTTGTCTTGAATATTTCAGCCTGTAGTTGAGGATAACTCACATATTTACCACAAAAACTCCAATGATTAAGCAATCTGAACAATTATTGTTTTTGATAAATTTCTATTTAGGCTGTACAGTGTTGGACTGTTAATTTTAGTTATAAAATGTCATTTATTCTGTCCTATTTTGAATTGGGGTTATTTTCATCTATTAAATATCCTTTTAAAAGAAATCCACAGTCTACAAGTTCCATTTTTTATATTTCTGATCTACTTTATACTATTATTGTCCTCTTGACTTGTGTGAGACTGAATGAGAACTAATTGTTGGCTACTTAGTATAATAGTATAGTGTGAGACTGAATGAGAACTAATTGTTGGCTACTTAGTATAATAGTATAGTGTGAGACTGAATGAGAACTAATTGTTGGCTACTTAGTATAATAGTATAGTGTGAGACTGAATGAGAACTAATTGTTGGCTACTTAGTATAATAGTATAGTGTGAGACTGAATGAGAACTAATTGTTGGCTACTTAGTATAATAGTATAGTGTGAGACTGAATGAGAACTAATTGACGTCATTGTTGGCTACTTAGTATAATAGTATAGTGTGAGACTGAATGAGAACTAATTGACGTCATTGTTGGCTACTTAGTATAATAGTATAGTGTGAGACTGAATGAGAACTAATTGACGTCATTGTTGGCTACTTAGTATAATAGTATAGTGTGAGACTGAATGAGAACTAATTGTTGGCTACTTAGTATAATAGTATAGTGTGAGACTGAATGAGAACTAATTGTTGGCTACTTAGTATAATAGTATAGTGTGAGACTGAATGAGAACTAATTGTTGGCTACTTAGTATAATAGTATAGTGTGAGACTGAATGAGAACTAATTGTTGGCTACTTAGTATAATAGTATAGTGTGAGACTGAATGAGAACTAATTGTTGGCTACTTAGTATAATAGTATAGTGTGAGACTGAATGAGAACTAATTGTTGGCTACTTAGTATAATAGTATAGTGTGAGACTGAATGAGAACTAATTGACGTCATTGTTGGCTACTTAGTATAATAGTATAGTGTGAGACTGAATGAGAACTAATTGACGTCATTGTTGGCTACTTAGTATAATAGTATAGTGTGAGACTGAATGAGAACTAATTGACGTCATTGTTGGCTACTTAGTATAATAGTATAGTGTGAGACTGAATGAGAACTAATTGTTGGCTACTTAGTATAATAGTATAGTGTGAGACTGAATGAGAACTAATTGTTGGCTACTTAGTATAATAGTATAGTGTGAGACTGAATGAGAACTAATTGACGTCATTGTTGGCTACTTAGTATAATAGTATAGTGTGAGACTGAATGAGAACTAATTGACGTCATTGTTGGCTACTTAGTATAATAGTATAGTGTGAGACTA